CGGGAAGCCTGCTTCTCCCTCTCCCACTCCCCCTGATGATGTTCCCTCTCTCGCTGTGTCTCTGTCAAATAAATAAATAAAATCTAAAAAAAAAAAAAAAAAAATGATCCAGGTGTGAATGCTTGTATGGCCTAAAATATTTCAAAATACTGCAAGGCAGTCGGTACCCTTGCCTCTGGAAGGAGAATTGGGTGGCCATGGGATGGGGGTGAGGGAGACTTTTTTATCTTTCCTGATGCATCCATTCTGTTCTTCCCGTGTGATCTTGGACAAGTCACAGGACTTCTCTGAGCCTCGATTTCCCCATTTGGAAAGGGAGGGTCATTACATGAGACACTGGGGTTCTCAGTGTGGAGCTGGACACCAGATGGGCCATTGAAGAGAGGCCTTGCCACCCCAACCCTCCTGGGTCTGGGCCTTTCCCAGGGACTCACCCCCAACTTCCTGCTCCATCCCACCGGAGTCAGGAGCATCGCAGCCCACGGCCTGTGGCCAGATGCGCAGGGGATTTTCCTAAGGCCTTGGCAGTCTGTGGCAAGTGAAAGGCAATGATCCAATCCTTTCCCATACCTTTTCATGCCCACCCACACCCTCATGCCTGGAACCAGTGCGGGTTTCTTCGGGATTCTCCAGAATCATCCTCATCCTCTGCGGAGACCTCCAGTGAGTGTGGGAGGGGCCTCCACACGCGCTTGCTCACCCAGCCTCATACGGGGCCTGTGTAGGAGCCCATCTCGGCTCTGTGTGCAAGGAGCTCCATTGCCTGGGTCCACAGCCCAGCTCCTCCCCCAGTTTGTGACTTGGAGCAAGTCCCTTCATTTTCCCGTGCCTCAGTTTCTTCATCTATAAAACAGAAGCAGTACCTGCTTTATAGGGCTCTTGTGAAGACATAGTAATTAGCTAGTTTGTCTAGATCTGCACTCTGTAATACTGTAGCCACATGGGGCTGCTGAGCCCTTGAAATGTGGCTGGTCCGAATGGAGACGCGCTGGGTTTGGAGACTTAGCAGGAAAAATAAAAGAATGTAAAATACTTCGTTAGTAATGTCCATGCAGATCCCATTCTACAATGATAATATTTTGGAGATGTTGGGTTAATGTGATTAATCTCACCTGTTTGCTTTTTCTAATGTGGTTACTAGAAAATTTAGAAGGACACACGTGGCTTGCATTCTGTTTCTCTCGGATGGTGCTGGTGTAGACGTGCTGGGTGCACGAATTTTCGCTCCTATTACAAGCTGCACTAAAGAGCCCATTTTTTTTTTTTAATTTATTTGACAGAGACACAGCGAGAGAGAGAGGGAACACAAGCAGGGGGAGTGGGAGAGGGAGAAGCAGGCTTCCTGCTGAGCGGGGAGCCCGACGCGGGGCTCGATCCTAGAACCCTGGGATCACGACCCGAGCTGAAGGCAGACGCCTAACGACCGAGCCACCCAGGAGCCCCCTAAAGAGCCCATTTTTGTTCCAATGGCTACCTGGTTGTTTTCCCAGATTTATTTAGGTATAATTGATGACTAAAACTTATATATATTTAAGCTGCATGAAATGATGATTTGAGACACATGTACGTTGTGAAATATACCACATTCCAGCTAATTAACACATCTGTCACCTCACCTAGTTAACCATTTTTTGTATGTGTGGTGAGAACACTTAAGATTTACTCTCTAGGGAGCCTGGGTGGCTCAGTTGGTTAAGCATCTGACTCTCAATTTCAGCTCAGGTCATGATCTCAGGGTCCTGGAATCAGCTCAGACTCAGCTTGGAGTCTGTCCCTCTCCCTCTGCTCCTCCCCCCCCAACACTCATGCTCTCTCTCAAATAAATAAAATCTTTAAAAAAAAATTTACTCTCTTTGTGGGGTGCCTGGGTGGCTCAGTTGGTTATGCATCTGAGTTTTGATTTCAGCTTAGGTCATGATCTCAGGGTCATAGGATTGAGCCCCCTGTGGGGCTCTGCACTCAGTTGCAAGTCTTCTTCTCTCCCTCTCCCTCTGCCCCTTCCCTTGAGTTTGTGCATTCTCTCTCTCTCTTTCTCTCTGTAAAATAAATAAATCTTAAAAAAAAAAAAAAAGATGTAGTCTCTTTGACAAACAAAAATTCTTAAATACAGAGAACAAACTGGTGGTTTCCAGAGGGGAGGTGGGTGGGGGATGGGTGAAATAGGAGATGGGGATGAAGGAGCGCACTTTTGGCCATGAGCACCGAGTGTGTATAGAAGTGTTGAATCACTGTATTGTACACCTGAAACTCATATAACACTCTATGTTAATTATACTTCAATTAAAAATAGAAAAAAGGGGCGCCTGGCTGGCTTAGTCAGAAGAGCGTGTGATTTTTGATGTCAGGGTTGTGAATTTGAGCCCCACGTTGGGTGCAGAGATTAATTAAATAACTAAAACTTTAAAAAAAGGAAAAAAAAAGGGATTTGCTCTCCTAGCAACTTTCAAGTATACAATACGTTTTTCACCATAGTCACCGTAATGCACATTATATCCCAGAACTTACTCATCTTATAACTGGAAGTTTGTACCGTTGGACCAACATCTCCCCATTTCACCTGATTGTTAGTCTGATTGTTTTTGTGTGTCAGCTGGTTTATAGAATAAGAAATTGGGATAGATTGCCAGCAGATACAGAATTCTATGTGATTCCTGAATGTCCCTCAGATCTTCACGTCTTCCATTTCTGCCCCCCCAAGTCCGACCTTCTTCATTTCTTGCCTGCTCCTTGTTGTTCTTGCTGCTTCCACGCTCATGTCCTGTGGTGGCCATTGCTCCTGGTCATCAGTGGTCAGTCTTCCTCTATTTCTGGGCCTGTGTGAGGATCATGCTTTCCCATGCCTTAAGAAATGCATGGCCATGTGACTTGCGGTGGCCAGAGAAGCGGTGAGAGGTGCTCCCAGGTGGAAGCATCTGAGCAGATGTGTGTGATTCTCCGTGTTCTCTGTTCTTGCCGACGTGCCCACCAACTTTTCCAGTGCTGGAGCTTTGGTCAGCCAGGGCCGTAGAATGAAGGTGATGTGGAACAGGGTCCTTACAGATCCATGACGTGTGTCGCATGAGCAAGGAATCAACCTTGTCTGTTTTGAGCTGATGAATTCTGGGGGCTGTTTGTTACTGCAGCATAACTTAGCCAGTCCTGACTGACGTTCCCTTCCTGCTTCACCTGTTTGCACATCTGCTCACATCCTCCCACTGTCTGTAACCCTTTCATGACTCCCCAGCGCTGTCAGGATAAGGTCCACGTGCTTTGTGGCGTGGGAGGCCATACCCACCCTTTCGCATCATGCTGATGGCTCCATGCTTACTTCAGCCTCTCCCCTTCTTGACATTCGTACTCCAGTTAAACTGGACCTGTGGTTCACTGTGAGCATCATGCTCTTCTGCTCACCTCTTGCCTTTCCATGTGCTGTTCCTTCTGCCCCGGATGCTTTTCTCTTGTCCTCCCCTCTCTCTACCTGGCTGACACCTAACTCCATCAAGACTCAACTCAGATGTCCTCTCCAGCAGGAAGCCCTCTCTGGCCTCCATCTGGATCAGGTGCCTTGTTTGGGGCTCCCACGGCCCCTGGGCTTCCCCCATAAATGTTCTAATCACTCTAGATGGTCTGATCGGAAGAACGAGTCTGTCTCTGCCCCTGGATTCTGAGTCCCCTGAGGGCAGGGCCAGCCTGTGTTTTTGGCACTGCTCAGCTCAGGGCCAGGCATGGAGGAGGGTTTCAGTCAACGTTTGTTGGTCAAGCAATAAATGAGCTCAGATGTTAAACAGATCTCAGGATGCGATGACAGGATTCCTGAGAAGTGGGAGCACGGGCTTCGCTTCTTTCTTCTCTTCATTTTTCTACTGTTTTCTCAGGAGCCGAGGCTTGATAGTCGGCACAATTCATTCCTGAATGCTGCAGGAAAGGGGCTGTGGTTTCTGTGGAAAGTTCCAGAGAAATTCTTTGTTTCTTGGCTTCTCTAACCAATTCCATCCAAATTTCTTTGCTGACTCAACACTCTCCCCAGCATTCTTTTTTTAAGTGGGCTTCCGGCCCAGCCTGGAGCCCAGTGCGGGCTTGAACTCATGACCCTGAGATCAAGACCCGAGCGAGATCAAGAGTCAGAAGCTTAACTGAGTCACCCTGGGACCCCTCCCAAACACTTTTAATGAACATTTTCGAACATACGTTGGAATAATTTTACAGTGGACGCTTATGCACCCCTTACTTAGATTCTACAGTTAACGTTTTTACTACGCTTGCTGAAACACATCCACTCATCTTTCCATCCCTCTGTCTATCCGTCAGTCCTCCTTTCCAGCCCTGGGGAGCTGTGTCACCACTTGCCTCTGCTCCTGTGATGGTCTCTTTATTAAACTCGCCCCAGTCCCTCGATCTGAGTTTGCCGTTTCCAGCCGAGAAGCAGTGGCCTAGCGATGCAGCGGCCAGCGCGAACTGAGAACGGCCTACGTGTCTGACGCTCTCCCAAGGGCTTTGTAGGAAGCCATTTGTTTCATCCCCCTGACGACACTGTGTAGAACCAGAGGCCTGGACACGTGAGGCCACTAGCTCAGAGTTGCAGGATCAGTGGCCCGCCCAGGATTTGAATCCAGCAAGCGTCTTACCTGGTAACTCTAAGAGCACCTGGGAGACGCTGGGGGGAATTTGAAACCAAGAGGTCGGGTTGGTGTTTTGAAAGCGCCCTCTGGCGGCTGCGAGGAGCATTGCCCGCTCCTGGCTTCCTTCTGCGGCTGGTGGGGGTGGGGCGGGGTGCGGGACACAACATTCAACTAAATCCTGCCGCAGGGACACTGACGGGTGGACTCTGCTGGGGTGCCGGTATGTTTTCTTGGAGGAGGTGACGTTGGAGCAGGGCTTTAAGCTTCCAGTAGCAAAGGCGCGAGAGAACCCGCCTTGTTCTGGGAAGAGGGTGCAGCTTTGCGTGGGAGGGAGTCACCAGATGAGGCTGTGGAAATAGGTCGTGCCCCATTTAGGAAAGAACCTTGGTCTTGGGATTTTGTTCTGTAACCCAGTTTGGAGCTTGGGAGCCAGCAAATTTCAAAGACAGAATTGGAGGGTCGGCTCTTTTTTTCTGCCAGTACAGAATTCTAAAAAGAAGAGAGAGAGACCATTTCTGTTCATTCTAAAAGCTTTTATGGAGCCTCTTCCGTATATTAGGGATTGATCTGGGGCAGGGTCTGAGTCTGTTTTGTCCACCGTTGTACCCTCAGAGTCCAGAGTCATGGAAAGCCCCTAATGAAAGGAATGAATAAAACTAAAGATATTTGTGGGCGTCTGGGTGGCTCAGGAGGTTAGGTGTCTACCTTCAGCTCAGGTCATGATCCCGGAGCCCTGCATTGGGCTCCCTGCTCTGCGGGAGGCCTGTTTCTCCCTCTCCCACTCCCCCTGCTTGTGTTTCCTCTCTCGCTGTGTCTCTCTGTCAAATAAATAAATAAAATCTTAAAAAAAACACACACACAACAAAAAAACCTAAAGATATTTGCTAGGGCATGATGCAGGCAGGACTGAGGTGCTGGGAATGAGGTTGAGGTGCTTGGGGTTACAGGTAAATTTGGAGACAGAGGGGAGTAAAGTGAGAAATAGTCACTCTCTATAGCATTAGGTTAAAAAATTAGTCATCTGATTTTTATGGTCATTTCTTACGTTCTGGGGTTTTAGGATGGGGATCACACAGCAGAAATACCTGATTCTGGAATAAACCATGAAATCATTCATGTACGTTCTGGGACACACCTTTGGTGCCTTATCAGATGGAGCCCTTGGGCGCCTCCTTCCTGCTGAGCCCACCAGCGGAGGCCCGATGGTTGGTGAGTTACGAAGTCCTGACTTCAATCCTGAGCAGACGGGCTCAAGCTCTTAATCCTTTCTCTCTCTTGTTTAAATTACCTTTTACTAGAATTTCATGTTTCTCCTAAGCCGGTGCTTTTCCTTTTTCTTTCTTTCTTTTTTTTTCCCCAAGGAGTGTTATTGACTATGTAGGCATTCGTTTACACCGGGATACCTGGTCTGATGGCATCTTTGTGTCAGAGGCTCATCTCCAATCTGACAGTTATCAAAATTCAGAGCAACGTAAACTCCCAGTCACATAGTCCCCAGACTCGAAGACTCCCGGTTCCTAGACATGTCATGTGTGTTATACAGAACTATGTGATCAAAAATTCTTTAAATCCTCCCCCCAAATGTGGGAGGAGGAGGCAGTGTGGGCAGCAGGACTCAGCCGTGGAAGAAAAGGAGAGAGGCGAAGATGTCTTTTCACAAAGGAGGTGAATGAGGGAAATGAGACTATTACTAGAAACAGTGAGCTCTCAAAACACCGCAGCGGCCTCCCTTCTCACTCAGGGGAGAGGCCCGTGGCCTCACCGTGGCCCACAGGCCCCTTGGGGTCCAGCTCCCACTTCCTGTCTGCCTTCCACCTGCTTGCACGCTGCCCTCCTGTCCAGCCATGCCGGCCCCCTCAACGATCCACACCAACAGAGGCCCGTTCCCTCCTCAGGACCTTTGCACTTGCTGTTCCCTCTGCCTGGAATGCCCATCCCCCACCATCTGCAGTGTCACCTGCACTTTGCAGTGTTTGCTGTGCGCTAAGGACAGTTCTAAGCAATTTATACACATTAACTCCATGAATCGCTTTCTTCATGAAGTCTTCCCAGGCGGTCCTAGTTGAACACCCTTCACCCCTGCACAACACACCCCTTGACACTTTTATCCTTCCCTACTTCATTTGTTTTTAACACTTCCCTACCATATTTTAACACTGGGGCTGCCGTATCGTATAGTTAGCTCTGCCCTGTCTATCGTCTGTCCTCCCTGCTCCCCACTAACATGTTAAGTTTGTCAGGGCAAAGATTGTGTCTGCCTCGATCACTGCTGTGTCCCCAGTATTGGGGACAGTGACTGGCATTCAGTCGGTGCTCTGTGTATATTCGTGGAACAGATGTATGGAGTTCTTGAGTTCGAAGTGCCATCCACGAATCATGTCATTTCATCCTCACATCCAATTCTGTGAAGTGGAAGGTCTTAGTATTGGACCCATTTTACAGATGGGGGAGTGGAGCATCTGAGAGGTGAAGTCACCTTCCTGAGAATGCACAGCTTGCAGCAGGGGGCCATCTGGCTCTGGGACCAACTTGGTTGTTTTTTGGTTTTTTTTTTAAGATTTTATTTATTTATTTGACAGAGAGAGACACAGCGAGAGAGGGAACACAAGCAGGGGGAG